ATTTTACGTCATCTGATTTGATTTGGGGGGATGATAGATTAAGTAATAAGTTATGTATATCTAACATAACCTTAGTTTTAATAGACGAATTCTTTTTACTATTGGTGAGTATAATACTTAATTATGCGTTTATGCATTGTAACTAATAGCTATTTATTTTTAGAATGATTACTGCTAACTACATTATTATTAGTATCTCTAATAAATAATCGGAAACTAGTTATTCGAAATGTCAAAATTTGCAAGTTTTCAATAAAAATGGTAAGAAATGCAAGATAATTTTATTTTTCTCACTAAGGATTTTTATATTGATCAGGAGTTTAAACACATTGAGAAATCAGTTGTACATATTACGTGAAATATAATAAAATATAACATAATAAAATATAACATAACCTAATCTTTTTGAGTGAAGACATACTGCACTTTCATATTTATAAAAGGTAAGACAATACTTGTTATAATATAATTATATGTCTCTGCATTTAAAACATATTCTTATTTATTTTCAGGTAATATTGTTGTAAGCGCAGAAAATAGAGAAACTGGTTTGCTTAGTAGTAAAATGTTTCGAAAAAGTTTGTAACTAAATAAGTTATAGAAAGGAAAGATATAAATTTTGACAGAATAGTCTATAAGTTTGATTATAATAAATGCAATGTGGAATGTCAATAAATCTGTACATTTGCATAGCAAGATTTTAGACTATGATATGAAGTCATTATTTTTTAAGGTAAAAGTAGAGTCGAGTGAGTGCATTTTACAATCTCATTTTAACGCTTTCATAATTATTCATATTGATAATATATAATGATATATTATAAATTTATTAACAAGGAATACGAGGTTTCAGATGACAATACAAACTTGGACAAAAATATTTTGGGGTTATGATTGAAAAAGTTTCCCAGTCACTGTTCTAGACGATGAAATAAATATTTCATAATGGATAATAAATATATTAACAACAAATAAAATATGTTTCAGATGCTGTGAAATGTTTATCGAGTGATGATGTTTATAAATAGTTAAGTTAATTGCATTTATTACTTTTATTACTTTACCTACCTTACAATTGATATATATCACGTAAATTATAATCGAATAATATTCGATTATAATTTACTTGGATATATATCAAATGTAAGGTAGGTTTTCCAATGACTGTTCTAGACGATGAAATAAATATTTCATAATGGATAATAAAATATTAACAACAAATAAAATATGTTCAGATGCTGTGAAATGTTTTATCGAGTGATTTGTTATAAATAGTTAAGTTAATTTGCATTTATTACTTTTATTACTTTACCTACCTTACATTTGATATATATCACGTAAATTATAATCGAATAATTATTCGATTATAAATTTACTTGATATATATCAAATGTAAGGTAGGTTTTCCAATGACTGTTCTAGACGATGAAATAAATATTTCTAATGGATAATAAATATATTAACAACAAATAAAATATGTTCAGATGCTGTGAAATGTTTTATCGAGTGATGATGTTATAAATAGGAAAGTTTATTTGCTTTTGTTATTGTTATAAAAAAAGTTTACTTGATATGTATTAATAAATATCTATATTAAAAAAAAATCAATATTTATGACACTTTTGTTTTTTATAAATCATCATTTTTTAATGCCGTTTCTATATTTGTATCATTGTTTATTTAATAAATGAATTTCCACAAAAACATTTTTATAAATTTACGTTATGTTCATTTCAGAAATCACTAATAAATAAATAATAAATTTCAGGGTGTTTTATTGTTAAATAAATGACATTGATTTTTGCGTTATATTATTTCAACTTCAAATCTTCAAATATTTGTGTAATATTTCAACATCAGTTATAAGTTTCAGAATAATTTAATAATTCAATAATTAATAATTCAAAATGTTCACCAGCTCTCTGTCTAATTGTATATTACCTTACCAACATTCAACAATTTGTAGGCAACATTGGTTCCAAATTTCCAAATATAGACCAATATAGACCAATGTTGGTTTACCTATATGGCCTCAATATTAAAAATGTTCAATTTTTATGACCAGCCGATATTGGTTTCAAATTTGACCAATGTAGATTTTATATTGCTTGTAGATTCAGACCATATTAATTTCTACATGGGTATATATATATATATATATATATCAGTTTCAACATTATGTGTCATCATTCAGCAACGTTACAAATTCAAACCAAATAAAACACACAACTTTAAACATATAGTTTGCAATATTTTAGTCACGTGACTAACTTAGTATGTTATTTTATTTTGACCAAAATTTGTTTTTTTTAATACAGTGTGTTCAAATTTTATAAAAATGTATTTTTCTGCTAAGAGCTTGTTAACTTGCTGAAGGATGTCATCAGAGGAAAAAACATTTTTATAAAATTTGAACACACTGTATTAAAAAAAACAAATTTTGGTCAAAATAAAATAACATACGAAGTCAGTCACGTGATTACATTATTGCAAAAAATCTTTTGCAAACTATGTGTTTAAAGTTGTGTTTTTGGATGGCTCAAATACAGTGCCAAAACCTACATCATGAATTCTCCTTAATGTATTTCATAAAGGACTATACTATACTACCGAACAGACTGATCATAATCGACTTTGAGATAAAATCCTGTAATTTGTTGCAATTTATAACAAATAAAAGGACTCTACTGACGAACAAACTGATAATAATTGTCTTGAAAGAAGATTCAAGAAAAGAAAATGATTCTACTGGCGAACAAACTAATAATCATCGACTTGAATCAAGAATCGAGTAAATCTTTAACGAGACTCTTCTACTGACAAATAAATGGTCATAATCAACCTCGAGAAACATTTCAGTGAAATATTGCAATTTGTAATAGACAAAAGGACTCTAATGACAAACTAGTCATCATAGACTTAAAACAAAAATCCAGTAAATAACTACAATTTGTAACAGAAAAAATGACTTCACTAACGACCAAACTATCAAAAAAATAATCCAGTAAATTATTACAATTTTCACAAAGGGACTCTACTGACGAACAAACTGGTGGCCATTGAATTGAAGAAAAAATCGAGCATTTTCAATAGACAAATGGACTTAAATGTTTGAAGATTATAAATTATAATTTGAAATAATCATTCATATTTTTTTTAAATATTGCTCCTTCTGTTTTCGAGATATTTTTTAATATTATCTAGCCGTTTTGTTTCAATTATCTGGACAATCATTTAAATAGGCTTAATAATATATTCGAACGTTTTTTGAATTATCTGGTTAGACTCTGGATTAATATTTGGACGTTATTTTTAAAACAATTTGAAGGTTTATTTTGTTGACATCCGTGTGTCAACATTTACTTCAATATTTATCACTCTAAATTAAATTCTTGAACTCAAATATTCAATTTTCCTTTTTCCCTCTAGGGACCTATTATTGCTGGAACCTTCGGAACCTGCATCCACGATCGCAGCCTGATGCGTCTGGGTGTCGTCAACGAAATGCTCGGAATTCTTTTAACAATGTTCATTGGATTTCTCTTCGGCCTGGTCATCTGTATGATAGACGACAGATACGGAGTAGGAGAGTGGCCCACGAACGAAATGTTATCGAAGTAAGATAAAATATTCTGTTCGAGTTAGCAATTATAAATTTAGTAATGTTCTGAACAGGTGTGAAATCCGTTCCTTGTGGGTCGGAGCCTTAATAGCGTTTCCATCGGGTGCTGCTGGAGCCTTGGCGGTCTTGGGAGACAATACGGGGTCCTTGGTAGGAGTTGCTATATCTGCATCGCTTTTACCACCTGCTGTAAATGCAGTAAGTAGAAAGAACTATTTGGTAATAAATTACTTTTTACTTCTGAAGCATGTGATTTCATGTATATTCGTCCTTTAAGTCTTTCTAATTCACCAAGCAAGATCTATTTGTATTTGAGTTTTTTCTCGCTTTATTTATCACCTTTTTCGTCTTTGGTAGATTTATTTTCGAAGTCAAATGGCATATCAATTTTTTTTATTTGGTTCACAAAGTTCGTGCAGAGCTATACTCCAAGTTTAGAACTTTTTGCCATACAAGTTTTTTTGCCATATAACAATTTGCTTGCTAATTTTTTAATTTTTTTTTTATTATTATCTCTTTTATTTACAACTATCCAGGTCGGGACATTCAATAAATTTGATGAATTTACAATAGTCAGCCGAAAAAGTACATTGTATACTAAAAGGGCATGTTGGAAAAACAACTCAGTAATTGTTTTCCCATTCGATATAAAATTCACAATACATTTGCTTGCCAATAGTCTTTTTTTAGTTTTTAGATTGCTAATGAATTTGATCGTCAGTAGACTCCGATTTTTATCTACTAATTGTAAGTCGATACATAATTTTCGTCAGCAAAATCCTCTTTTTATTCTAATGTTCTTTATTTGAGCAGAATCCTTTAAAATGCCCCTTTTCATATCGTTACTAAGCAATTTGCTTGTCAGTAGTGTTGCTTTTTATCTTTTATGTTATTAATTTGCTAGTCAGTAGAGACCCTTTTTAAATCTTAAGTTGCCAATTAATTTAAATTTAAAATTCTTTTTAATTAGTTCGCGTGTTAGTAGAGTTTTTTTTTTAAATTCTACGTCGCTAATTCATTGCTCTTCAGTACAGTTCTTTTTTGATATTTCAAATAACTCTTCAATTTGCTCGTCAGTAGAGTCCCTCTTGAAATCTTACTTGTTGTTAAGTAATATGCTCTTTAAAATTTCTCCTTATACTTTAAAAATGTCGATTAGTTTGCTTGTAAGTAGAGTCCATTTTTGTCTTCAACTCGACAAAATTTTATTTTAATTCTTTAGTCTTATTTTGTCAGTAGACTTCTTTGTACAAATTTATTAATCAGCAATTATTTCATTTCTCTAATAAAGGTCCTAAATGCCGAATGCTAATTACAATGACAAACCGATCATATCATATTTAAAGTATGACTTCAATTATATTAAAGTTTTTAAATATTATACATGTTTTTAATGGTATTATAAATGTATAATTTATAATTTATTATTATATAAATGTGTATAATAATCGACATTAATAAATGTTTGCATCGCGAGTGTTACCATATTACTGATGAACATTAATCAAATTTGTTATATGACGTATTTATTTTTACTTAAATGCCATCTTGTACAGTAGCAAATTAGTTTTACTTCAATCGGGTGTGAACCTTACGCGCACTCTTTTTTTTCTCTCCAGGGTTTAGTATGGGCAATGTCCTTTTCCTACCTCATCTGGCAGAACAATTCGACCAAATTCAACACCATCGTCGACACTCAACAATATTCATCGAACCAGGCCGTCGAATTGGCCGTCATGGGTTTCATCAGCTTGTGTCTGACTCTGGTCAACGTCATTTGTATTTATGCTGCTGGAATTTTAGTACTAAAGGTAATAAAAAAAAATACATGGCAAAAAACCATGATGATGTTATACGTGATTATTATTACAGGTTAAGGAAGTGGCTCCTTTACGTTCGAGCAGTGCTCGTCATTTCTGGAGACACGACGTGCGTATTGCAAGGGATTATAATAGGACTTTACGTGGCGATGAGGCTAGAAATTTAGCTAATGATTTGTTAGCGAAAAAGAATACCAAATTGGTGAATGGGGATGAAACATGCCAGAGACTACAATAGGAGGTACTCCGAGGCTTACGGGTAAGATAAAAATATTTGAAGGGTTTATAAAGTAACATACCTATGCCTTTTATTACCTTTTAGTCTTAGTTTGGAGCAAAACCGCATGCGCAAATTGCGAGAACGTCTAAACCAGTGGACCTGGTCACCAGCTCCTGTTGAACCAGAAAGGCCAACAATCAGAGACCTCAAATCCCTCTACGAATCCCTCACTGGTGAAAGGTACGAAGGCAACAGGATGGGAATCGGCGGAAACAACAATGGTGTAGGCTCTGGTGTGAATAATGGAAAACCTAGAAGGTAAATGTTTCAATTAAAATATTGACTATGTTTAGATTTGTAATGTGTTGTTTTCATTTCAGGTTAGGGGGTGTTCCTTTGATCAGAACAACGTCGTCCGGAAATACTCCATGGAGCCCTGGGGCACACACGGCAGGCGTCGAAGAGCCTTTGACATTTTTGGAAAGCATTCAGGAAATGAGCGATAATATGCTTAACAAATCATTCAAGTACGTTTAGATATAAATGTGTTTGATTTATCCATTTTGGTACGAATGTCGTCTATAGGCGACATCCACTTAACAGCCTGCGTTTACGAGTGTCGCCTATAAACGACATCCGGTTGCCAAGATTTACTTCAATATTTATCAGCCTAAATTAAATTGAGAAATCTAATTTATTATTGTAACTTTTTGTTACAAGATTATTTAATGTACTACATTTTATATTGCCGTCTCTTTCAAGCACATGGTGGTAGAAAGAGATGAATGATACAAATTATGCGAAATTAAAAGTGAAAAGTTAGCGCGCAAAATTTAAAAATTGAAATGCACATTTCTGCTTGCAATATTTATATACAAGTTGATAAAAGATTAAAGCATATTTTTCAAATCTATTTAATTGGAAATATGTATTAAAAATTGTGCATATATTTTTATTAGTAGCATATGTTTACTGAACCCTCAAAAAATATTTCAACATGCATTTTAAGATATATTAAATTTGCTGACAAAATTTAAATTGTCAAATTCTATTTATAATATCCATATTAATTAACATTACAACTATATTAACATTATTAACAATTAATTAACTAGCAAAGTGTATTGAAAAAATTGTGCACATATTTTTATTACAATTACATGCTTGTTTATTTATTTAAAACAATCAGAAAATGTTTGAACTTACATTTAAATAGTTGCATCAAATTTGCCAGCAAATTTAAATCATTTGATTCTATATATAATATTTATATATAGATAACTTATAGAAAAATACAGCACATTTTTAAAATTGAGTGAATATTTACAAAAAAACATTTTTTATAAAAAATGTACAATACTTCACAGAATGTTATTACTCCTTGTAACTTTCACTTTAATAATAAATAACACTTTAACTGTTAACACTTCAACAATTAACATTTTTAGCAAATTTTATTCATAATTAAATTTATCATCACAATTGAAATATTTAAATGTAACTTATAGTTTGACGTTTCTTCTTACTGACATTTATAAATTAGTGTTGCCCGATGCGTTATTCAATATCGCCCTCTCGCTCTAACATATGGTACCAGAAAGAGACAGGTGATAAAATTTAAGCAAACCACTTGACATTCAAATTAGACGTTGTGAAGTTGTCATCAAGTGTTTAAATGCTAAACTAGTGACCGTTTTCATCAATATAATTTTTAATAATTGCAATATAAGTAGTATAACAAATGTGTAAATAAAGTTTTTCTATCTATTTTCCAGTGTGGTTACTCTAAATTCCGACAAAATATCGAGAGACTTACCGAACTCCTCGGGGGCTCCGAACGTGACCCGTCGCAAATTTGTGGTGACTCCGGCAAAAGTGGATCCTTTAGACCAGTTTTCAAAAAATCAATTAATTGTGAATAAAGATCATAATAGTGTTCGTGCTGTTGAAGATCCAAATAAGACTTTGACGGATGCAGATTCTACAAGTACAAATACTACATTTGTTGTGTCCAGTGTTGTATCTGAAACATAAAATTTGAGGTTAAGTATATAGTATATAAACTTCAACATTGTTTTAATTTTTAAATAACTTAATAATTGTAATACCTTAGTGCCAGCAAATAGTGCTTTAATTATAATGTTGCTTTTATTTCTGGTAAAAATAATATTTATAATTTAAAAGTACAACTAATCAACCTTTTATATAGCTGTTGAGTAAGTAATATTTTGTATATATGTAATAATAATGTAAATAATTAGCTGGACTAAATTGTGTACCAAAATCATAAATTCCAGTGTTCTTATTTAACTATAATATATTTATAGAAAAGTATATAAGCTTAATTAAAACCTAACCTCAAATATATTTATAGATATTAAGTATATGAGCTTAATTAAAACCTAATCCCAAAATTTATTTAGTAAAATTTCATGAATCTGCATTTTGTTCGAAAACTTTGTTATTTCTAGTTGTGTGCTCATAAAATTCAAAAAATTAACAAAATAACTTAAACAAACAAATTTTTGTTATATATTTGTTCTAAAAACTACATGGTGTCCTGAAAGTTTCAAAAAACATATTTTTGTAATTTATTTTAAGATAATAATAATTAATAAAATGCATAACCTTGTAAAAAAATTGTATTTTTTTTTTGCAAATAATTTTCTATGCAACAATTTGTTTACAATAAAAATCTTGATATTAATAATTAATAAATAAATACCATTAATAAACTATATTATTGGTGCTCAAAAGACTCACACAAAATTTGATTTTAAAAGTTCTTTTTTTGAATACCTTGAGCACTTTTTAATTTTAAAATAGACCTTGTAATAAATTTCTAACAATTATTTATTTAAGTTTGTTCTATCTCAAAATAAGATAATAAAAAAAATCAGAAGACTTTAATTAGTAATTATTAAATTAAAAAACTAAATAATGTACAAATTGTTACTTTTCTTTTTATTTTTTTTTAAAACTATATCATATATGTGATATGAGAAAAATATTACCAAATGTTCATTTTCTTCTATTACAATATATCTTTAATTAGAAATAAGTCGTTAATTGGCAAATTAGCAAATTTCAAATTGCAAACAGCCATTTAGCAACTAGATTTCAAATCCGTATGAATCAGTTGTTACTACACAGGATACAGAAACACACAAAATAATAATAATAATATTAAAAATAATAATAATAGTAAATTAATTTGTTTAAAATTTTTATGTAGAGCATATATAGTGGATTTATATATTAAAAAAATACCAATTGTGCTCGAAATGTTTATATTAATTTGTTTATTAAATAATAATATTTTATAAGTTTATTATTCAATAAATAATAATTTTTACTAATTTATTAAAAATTTGAAAAAAAACAATATTTTTAAAGTTATGTGCAAAAATAGGACTAAATATTAAATTATTGTTAATTATATAATTGAACCAAAAATAATTATTAGTTTATATTAATTCTGAATTCAAGAAAAAGTAAGTTTTATTATTAATATTTTGATTTTTATTTATTATCTCATTTTGAGATAGAATAAACTTAATTAAATTATTGTTAAATGTATTACAAAGTCCATTTTAAAATTAAAAGATGCACAAAATATTCAAGAAAAAAAAACTTTTTTCTAAATCAAATTTTGTGCAAGTCCTTCGAGCACCAACATAGATTATTAAAAATATTCATTTATTAATTATTAATATTAAGATTTTTATTATAAATAAATTGTTGCATAAAAAATTATTTACAAAAAAAAAATATATTTTTACAAAGATATGCATTTTAATAAATCTATTTCTATCTTAAAATGAATTACAAAAATATGTTTTTTGAAACTTTTAGAATATAATGTAGTTTTTAAAAACAAATATATAAAAAAAATTGATTAACTTATTTTGTTCATTTTTTTTTAATTTTATGAGCACACGATCAGAAATAACAAATATTTCAAACAAAATGCAGATATTTGGATTAAATTATGTAAAATTTTATTTTTATTTAGCAATTTTATTCCTGTCAATCATATTTTTATATATTATTTTTAATATTAGTATTTTTCTATTTTTATAGTATGTTTATTATCTTTAATAATTTTTATATTATTTTTGCGTTGTTATATTATTTTTATTTATTTTATTATTTTTTATATATTTATAATATTACATACTTAATTTAAATAATAATAATAATAATAATATTTATAAAAATAATATAACAAGGCAAAAATAACTTTTTCATTATTTATATAAATATCTCTCTTACTCTTTTTATATATTAATATTAGTCAACTTAACTTTTTGTACAAATCAATATTTCTCATTTATTATCTCTATATATATACATATATATATATATATATATATATATATATATATATATATCAATCTCCCTCTACCTCTCTCTTTCTGTCTCTTTCTCTCTCTCTACCTCTCTCTTTCGTTCTCTTTCTCTCTCTCTACCTCTCTCTTTCTGTCACTTTCTCTCTCTACCTCTCTCTTTCTGTCACTTTCTCTCTCTTTCAGACTCTTTCTGTCTCTTTTTCTCTTCACCTTTCTCTTTCCGTCCCATCCTCTCTCTACCTTTCTCCTTCTGTCTCTTTCTCTCTCTCGCTCTACATCTCTCTTTCTGTCTCTTTTTCTACCTTTTTCTTTCCGTCTCTCTCTCTACCTCTCTCTTTCTGTCTCTCTCTCTACCTCTCTCTTTCTGTCACTTTCTATCTTCCTACCTCTACCTCTATATATATTTTTATCTATTTTTTTTTTGAAAATTTCTTTATTATTTATAAACTATTTTTATTTATATTAAAATCTCCCTTTTTCGTACTTTTTTTTATCCCTCTGTTATGTAAATATTAGTCATGATTAGTTATCAATCTTTTTTTTAATCTCTTACTCCTCTTCTAATAATATTTTGTAGGAAATAACTTCTTTATTATTTATAAACGATTTAAGATTTTGATCTAACAATTTATTTTATCTAATTTTATTTATATATATATATATATATATATATATATATCTCCCTTTGTCTCACTCTCATTTTTCCATCTCTCTTTTATTTAAATTCTAGTCAATCTTTCTTTCTCTGAATATCAATCATTTTCTTTCGCTTTCTTTCTCTCTCACTTTCATTCTCTCTTCTTCTCTCTATACACATATATATATATATATATATATATATATATTCTATTATTTAATTTTCTATTCATGTTCTAAAATCTCTCCTATTTCTTTTTCTCTCTCCCTCTCTCTCTCTCTCTCTCTCTCTCTCTCTCTCTCTATATATATATATATATATATATATATATATATATTTTTTTTTGAAATGAATAAAACAGCCAATGCGTCGAATGTAAAGAATTTATTTTAATTTTTTATACGTTTCGAGACTAGATGTGCCTCATCATTCAGCTAAAAGAAATTTACATTATAAAGAAAAAGTTTTAAAAAATGAATTTATATTGGAAAAATTAATTGAAAACAACAATTATACACTTCAGATCAGGAAAAACCACACTATATTAACACAATTTACAACACCACAATCACATGATACTACTGTAGGAAAGCAAAAATAATTTAAGAAAAGACCAAAAAAGGTAAAAGTAAAATTGTATGAAACACATAATTATGTTTTTAACAGACAGCATAGCAACGCAGTTTGACTTATTTCCTCATTATTAATCCTCAAGATATATATATATATATATATATATATATATATATATATATATGTATATATATAAATATTGGTCAATCTATCTACTTCTATATCTAAGTCTCTCAGTTTATATCTCAGTCTCTCTCTACATGTTCTTCTCTCTCCCGTTCACATTCTCTCTCTCTCTCTCTCTATATATATATATATATATATATGTATATATATATATATATATGTATATATATATATATATATATAATATATATATATGATGATATATATCCTACGTCAAAGTACTGGGTTCGAGCAAAAAATTGCAAACATGATATCATGCAGTAGTAATATTCCCCTTTTCTCCACAAAAAGATATCAAAATTATGTTTCTTATTAAAAACCGCCTCTGTTGGACACTGTGATGTTAAATAGCAACTAGAAACCTCTCACACTCCTAAATCTTGATTCGAGATAAAACCTACAACTGCGTTATGGGACGACGAAATACGATTTTTGATGCAATCTTCAAGATATTAATCTCAATCAATTACTATTATTTATTTATATATTTTTTCCCAGTACAATAATCCAGAATGCCTTCCGGCGTGATGTTCTGCGTCTGCATACCGACTGCGAACCACGAGCACGTGCTGCTCCACGGTGACCGTTCGCCTGCTTCATTGAGCGGGAATCGCAACCAGTACGCTTCACCAGTTAGCAACCATCAGCGTCATGTGTCTCCGACATCGGGAACACGTAGACAACACCAGGACGCCGTTAACCAGAGACGGAGATCTCTGACGGACGAAGGCCAGGTCAGAGTCGACGTCGAGATAAGGGATAAGAGGTAAAATCATAGACAAAAATAAAAACTAGTGGTGTATGGCATTGTGCCTTAAGGCAAATTGCTGGAACTTCCCGTACCGTAATGAAGTGTTCGAGAAATTTTAAACGTTTTCAAATATATTATTACAAATACTAAAACTTTCATTATTTTTGCTATCTTGCTATCAATTTATCTCCAGAACATTAACAATCGTCATTTCATTTCGAATTCAATTTCAAAAAAAAAAAATAGTTGCCTAATTTACACAAAATTGAAAAAGTGCTTACGTATGGTCACAGTCTAAACGCATTTGCAAATAATTCTGTGCGACGTTTTCACTTACACTGTGCTTAACTTGGCGGCATTTTCACATTCTTTTCACAGTGCATAAACAGTCTAAGCGCCACTTGGAAAAACATTTGTACCAGGGTGGCGCTTAGACTGTGCTTAGCCTGGGTAATTTTTTGAATTTTTAATCCAAAATTACAAAAATATTTTATGAAAAATAAAAAAAAAGATGTAATATATCCTCAAAAGCAATTGTTTTGACAATACAAGCAGAAAGTTTTTTAGTTCATTCAAATCGGACGCTGAGTTCTCTCAAAAACTCGATTTGTATTTTCTGCACTCTTTGCCACAAATTAATCCCTATCAATAGGGATCGAGCGTTTTTTGAATCATTCAAATCGGTTGATCCGTGCGCCCGAAAACGTGGATGCAAAAATGCGGACATACAAAACACACACGTAAAACAAGTATAGTAATCGCAAAAAAATCGAAAATGAAAATTTGTATATATCTTTACGTTTCAGAGGTTTCTGAACATTTTGGCATACCTTAGAAAAAATAGATATATGTGTGTGTGTGTGCGTGTATGTATGTGTGTGTGTGTGCGTGTATGTATGTGTGTGCGGATACAAATTTTCGTCGACGATTCCGAGAACACTGATCAACCGATTTGAAAAACATTCGATTCGTACTGATAAGGAGACGTGCTGATTAGTTTTTGGCGAAGGCAGGTCTAGCCGTTCCGAAGATACGGGGCAAAAAGTGCCAAAAACGGTAACACGGTTTTTAAAAGAATGGAGCGTCCGATTTTAAAAATTCAAAGACCGTTTTACTTGCATTGACAAGATAAACTACTGAAAAAAAGCCATTTGGCGGTCAAAAATGATCATTAGACAAATGCACATCAAATTATCAGATATTTTATAGAGATTTTAACAATAAGTATAAATTTTGTTTACATTCCTATGGGTTCCGTACCAATGTTTATCAGCTAGACGGCGACGCGGCGCTTACTCGCTTCGATATTTCGTCTCTATGCAGTTGAAGCAGGACGATTGCTTTGAAAAAAAGTTCAGAATTTCCAAAATATTTCAAAATACACTTTTCTTCAAAAGTCTTTTTCAAAAAAAAGTAAATTTATCTCAAAAATTTATAGTTTCTCAAAAATCTAATTTTTCAGAGTGAATTTCTTTCAAAAATGTTAATCTTTAAAACAAAATAATTTTTGGTACGGAAAGTTCCAGCAATTAGCCTTAAGGCACGATGCCATGCGCCCCACTAGTTCAACCATTCAAATCGGTTGATCCGTGCGCCCGAAAACGTGGACGAAATAATACGGGCATACAAAACACACACATACACACACTCATCCATTTTTTCTGGGGTATACCAGTAAAATGTTCAGAAGCCTTCAAAACGTCGAGAAATGGAAAAATTTTCATTTTCGATTTTCGGCCCATTATTATAACTACCCTATGGGTGGTTAATAAGAAAATGGTATCAGGAGTGAGTAATATTGTATTTTTTATAGGTACAATGATCCTGCAAGAAGATACGCCAACCAAAAGAAACAAGGATCAAGAAACAACTTGGACAAAGACGTGCCGATGGAAAAGGTAAATTCTTTAGTACATCTTTTAGCATTTTATAAAAAAGTCCGTTCTGAATTTGTGTCAGGTCTTGGATGAATTGCTGAAGAAGCTGTACGTGGAACATGCGACCTGGTGTAGTGATAAATCAGGGAACTATTTCGAGGTGTTTTTTCCCGTTGCAGCAGGAGCACCCTGCGAGAATATGTTGCACTGTTTGACCGAGTTGGGGATTGGGCGGACTTTGAATTCAGTCGTCAAGTAAGAAAATTATCAGCATTTGCTGGTAAAACATATATTTTACCCATTTTCTTAATATATTTAAGTAAGTATTGTTGCAAATCAGAAATAAAGCCTAATATTCATGAAACCGCAGTGTATCAAATAAAGATAACTAAATTATTGGCAGGGTACAGCGATGTGGATAATATAGACAATAGTGATCAATGCGATTAATAATAAGTTTAATTTTAAGTCGCATGATAAAAATAATCATTGGTGCAATGCCAGAAGGCTGATCCATAGTATGAGAGCACAATATTTAATTAGGACTCTTTCCCACTCTTGCTTATAGTTCACTTATAACTTCTCCAGCTTCTCCAGGGTTCCATCATATTTTAAAGTAAAACTTCGTTAGGCGCGACTTGGGTGTAAATCTGTACAAATGCAACGGAAGTACGTTACGGCCGAACTGTTCGTCATTCGCTCTCGATAATATCATTTCTATACGGGTCGATTGTGATTAGTCGTCGCATATGTGAATAGAGATCTGTCGATGTATCCTTACCGATATCAACAAGGAAATCGGCATAGATAAATAAGCATTTTAAAGTTACATCGTAGTACTAATCTTGATTTAATGAAAAATGCCTGAATCAGAAGAATATTTTACCCTGATCCTTGAAAATAATAAAACAAATTAAACATTTGTGCCGTGTACTAAACGTAAGTTTATTGATTAGAAATTATTTCTATATTATTCGTAGTTTCTATAAATCTTTGAAGTTATTAAAATGGAAAATATTTCGACAGATATTACAGCTGTCCAAATAATGAGATTATATCGCTCGCGAAAAAGTAAAAAAAAACAAGCAGTCAATGAATGTATGTTAATTTTGATTACATGAAGTTCTTCAAACACAATTATTACACGATGAGTGAAATTGTGAAAACAATATTTGTTTAGGCGTTGTTTAACATAACCCACTGTGTGAACGAATATTATAGAACTTATTAATCAGAAATTACTTCATTTCTCTAATGAAGATTCAAGTCGTAAATGCTAATTACAATGATAAACCGATCATGTCGTATTTGAAGTATGACTTTAATTACATTATTGTTTTCAAATATTATACACATTTTTAAGGCTATTATTTCACTTATCATGTAATAATTGTGTTTGAAGAACTTCATGTAATTAAAATTAACATACATTCATTGACTGTTTGTTTTTTTTTTACTTTTTCGCGAGCGATATAATCTCATTATTTGGACAGCTATAATATCTGTTTTGCTTCAAAAATATTTTCCATTTTAATAAATTCAAAGATTTAAAGAAACTACGAATAATATAGAAATTAATTGAACAAACTTACGTTTAGTACACGGTACAAATGTTTAATTTGTTTCATTATATTCAAGGAACAGGGTAAAATATTCTTCTGATTTAGGCATTTTGCATTAAATCAAGATTTGTACTACGATGTAACTTTAAAATGTTTATTTATTTATGCCGATTTCTTTGTTGACGCCGGTACGTATACAACGACAGGTCTCTATTCACAAACACGACGATTAATCACAATCCACCCGTATAGAAATGATTTCATTGAGACCGAATACGTACAGTTCGGGCGTAACGCAATTTCCGTTGCATCCTCACAGATTTACACCCTAGTCGCGCCTAAAGAAATTTTACTTCAAAAACTGAAAGAACAAGAATGACAAAGAATGTTGTAGATGTTAGACCAATCGAGCCACAAGGGGAAAACAAAAGGAATGATCAAGGCATAAAAATAGAAGTTTGAGAAAAATAAAGAGAACTATAAACAAGAGAGGATAAATGGTATTAGAGTATCAATAACAACAATTATAATACCATCTGTTATCTTTCTAGTGTGATGCCTTGCTCCGTCGTCTATAACGGCATGAGAAACAATGAAGTCGACGAAGAAGAAATAGTGTAAGTATCTTAATATTTCCATATATATATATATATATATATATATATATATATATATATATATAATCTATTTCTATTTCTAGTCCAGTAGAAGGTGGCGGCCTTTGGGACAACTTCGTAGACTCGATTCGTTCAAAATTGACGGTGAAACAAGTCGTGGACGGTGTCAGAAGCGGCGGAGAGTTGTCCTTTGATTACATATTATTGATAGTAACCGCAGAGTAAGAAATAATAATAATAATTATATAATGAATTAGAACAATAGTATATTGTTTGTGTTTGTTAGTTCTTTGGCAGCACTTGGTCTGGTAGAGAACAACGCTTCTAACATCGTCGCAGCAATGTTAGTGTCACCACTAATGGGTCCAGTGATGTCTATTACATTTGGATCGATTATTTCTGACAGAGAATTAATGGTAATATAATAAGACAATGTACCCAAGTAAGTAAGATAAATCCTTAACAGAGTCTTTTCCTTTTGTTTCTATTTTTTCAGCGAGTAGGTTTTATAAGTTTGGTTTTGGGAATGTTTATATCTTGCGTTTTTGGTTTTTTCTTCGGATTAATTTTGGGGACTACAGAGATGCCCTGGGGTTTTGGAGATTGGCCCACTGAGGAGATGAAAGGACGGTAAGAAATTATAATAGATAATGTATATATTTGCAGTTCGATTTTATGGCATAACAGAAAAATGTTACAATAAAGCCATGTTATGAAGAACTTTCCATACTAAATATTAACAAAAGGCATGTAGTTTGTATGCAGTCAAGCGTATTTCTCAGATTGTCAGATAGAAAACCTTACCTAAAAACCGCACAAATGTCAAATAAAACGATGTTAGGGTCTTTCTGACTCAGCTCCATAACATACGAGTGACGTTGCAGTTTATGCGTAAAACGCCTGAATGAACAGCAATTACTTGTCATTTCGACAGTATTCAGTATGATTCAATTACTAAAAATCAACTATCTTTATTATATTTGAAATTTGAATTTCAAATCTGAACGGTAGTTGCAAACGCGGGAACTTCACACTCGAAGTATTTTGTTCATCATGTTCGTGCAGTAATTTTGTTTCAACTCGGTTTGTTATCCAATTTTAGATTTTAAACATTTTTTTATATATAATTTTGTTCGAAACAATTTAAATTGTTATATACAGATTTGTAGATATTTTTATTATCTTTTTAATGATATATAATAGTATATACATGTTTGAACAAATTGTTGAAGAAATTTGACGGAATATGTAGTGTAGACATATTGGTTTACCAAAATGGCGTCATACCATTCAGGATTAAACTTTTTTTTTATAATAATTTTGTTGCACAGTTGCATAATGTATGGAATTTGGAACGTAACATAGCCTTGCCATAACATTTTTTTGTTATGCGGCAGAATCGGTCCCTAAATCTTAAATATTGCTATTTTCCAGTGGTAACGCCCGTTCCCTCTGGATGGGCGTACTCTGGGCTCTAACCTCCGGCACTGGCGTAGCAGTGGCTTTGCTTAATGGTAGCGCGGGGCCACTTATCGGTGTGGCCATATCTGCTTCGTTACTACCACCGGTAGTAAATTGTGTAAGTATACAGAAATATAAAGTATAGCAATATACATATAATGTTTTGATAAATTAATTATGCTTTTTGTCCAGACACTTCAAAAAATGTCCAGACACTCCAAAAAATGTCCACACTCCAAAAAATTGTTTAGAGTCTAAACTTTAGACAGTCCAAAAAAATGTTTAGGCAGTACAAAAAAATGTTTAGACATTCCAAAAAAATGTTTAGACAGTCCAAAAAGATGTTTAGACATTCCAAAAAATTGTTTAGACATTCCAAAAAAATGTTTAGTCAGTCCAAAAAAATGTTTAGACAGTCCAAAAAAAAATGTTTAGGCAGTATAAAAAAATGTTTAGAAACTCCAAAAAATGTTTAGGCACTCCAAAAAAATGTTTAGACACTCTGCAACTTAATCAGACACTTTTCTTTTTTAGGGTTTATACTGGGCTTTGGCTTGTATCTGGTTGAGATATCCTGGTATACGGATACCGCATATTAAAGGTAAATCTGATAAATGAATTGAGGAAATTGATATTTAAATTAGTTTTGTATGGCGTCATGCCTTGAGACAAATTGCTGGAACTTGCCGTACCGAATTGCCGCCTTTGCCAAAAACTAATCACCACTTCTCCCAATCATTATGAATTGAATGTTTTTTAGATCATTCAAATCTGATGCTTCGTTCTCTCAAAAACTCGATTTCTATTTTCTGCACTTTTTGCTCCGTGTCTCCAAAACGGCTGGACCTGTCTTTGCCAAAAATTAATGAGCACATCTCCCTATTTAGATCCATACCAGATATTTATAATCTTATTTTAGAAAGTTCTGAGAGAATTCTATCTATAAACAGAATTCCTTACTAGTGTGATATCAACTTATTTATACTTATATACTTTTGATCAATTTAGAACATTATAATAATCTTTCTAATTATCTATCCCATCATAAGATAATTTGTTTTGATTTCACTGTCTATCTTATCACTATCTAATATAAAAAAAATCAGGTTACGACATCAACTAAAAGTACTCAATCGACTTCTTTTTTTCATGCCCTCCTTTATCATACTGTAAGATAATAAATCAAGCTTATTCAAAAACTTATGATAAAAGATCAAACTTAATTATTACATTTTTTTTATTTTTCAGGGGAGCCCTACTTTAGTAACGAGACAGCCTATGAGCCCCTCTATTCGGACTACATTCCCATAGAATTCGCAGTCAATGGAGTCGTATCAGCCTGCCTGACTATTATTAATGTCATTTGCATTTTTATCACCGCCATAGTCGTCTTAAAGGTAAATATATATATACATATATATATATATATATATATATATATATATATTTAACTTCCCGTAGGGTAAGTTATTGTAATGGGCCGAAAATCGGAATTGAAAATTTTTACATTTCTCGACGTTTTGAAGGTTTCTGAACATTTTGGCATACCTCAGAAAAAATGGATGTGTGTGTGTGTGTATGTGTGTGTGTGTGTATGTATGTGTGGATACAAATTTCCAGTCACGTTTTAGGGCGCACGGATCAACCGATTTGAATGGTTCAAAAAACATTCGATTCCTATTGATAGGGAAAAGAGCTGATTAGTTTTTGGCAAAGGCAGGTTCAGCCGTTTCGGAGATACGGAGCAAAGAGTGCGGAAAATAGGAATCGAATTTTTGAGAGAACGGAGTATCCGATTTGAATGATCTAAAAAACATTCAATTAATAATGATTGGGAGAAGTGTTTATTAGTTTTTGGCAAAGGCAGGCCCAGCCATTTCGAAGATACGGAGCTAAATATGTAAAAAATGGCAGTTTTTGAGAGAACTAAGCGTCCGATTTGAATGATTCAAAAAACTTTCTGCTTGTCTTAACAAAATAATTGATTTTGGAAAAAAAAATTTTTGTTCGATTTTTTTTTTTTTTTTTTTTTAGTTTTTTGTTGAAACAAATAATTTCAACTTTGCAATTCAGTTTATATAATTCTTATAAATATTAGACAATGTTACAATATTTATAATAATCTATTTGAAAACATTCAGTATTCCTCGAACATTTCGTTACGGTACGGGAAGTTCGAGCAATTTGCCTTAAGGCACGATGCCACCCACCCCACTAGTTATATATATATACTAGATGACCCGACAGACGTTGTCCTGTACTATTCAAAAGTTCCAATTTTTTCATCTGCCAAACAATATACTGTATCTTATATTATTTTATTTCTGTTATCATTCAATCGACTGAGGAAATCTGTTTATTTTGAAAGCATTATAATTAATTATCTTACCTTTCTAGGTGAAAGAAGTGGCCTCTCCGTACACGTCCAGTCCGGAACTGAGAAGATTCTGGGAGAAGGACATCAGGGTCGTCAGGAAGACCAACAGGAGCACCCTGCGCAGGCCGAGGACCAATCTGGGACAGGCCAAGGACGAGTCAGTATACAATTTATAATATAATGTCTTTGGATAAAACAAAATTACGGCCTACATGCTATGTCGACAGGGAACTGTACTAACGCGTTGACAAACTCGAGGGAAAAATGAAAAAGATCATTACTATCGAGCAAATTATTAGCGCAATATAAAAGACTTAAAGAGAGGACTCTACTGACCAGCAAATTAAAAAATAAAAACATAGATAAATAAAAAAAATAAAAACATAGATAAATAAAAAAATAAAAAAAGAGACCTTACTGACGAGCAAATTAAATACACTTATGGAAATGAGAAAAAGACTATACTGGGCAACTTAAAACTAAGTGAAATATAAAAAAGATTCTACTGGCCAGCAAACTAAATATCGATTTGTAAGAATAAAAATGAGACTATACTGACCAGCAATTTAAATATTCGGGTAGTAAAATATAAGAGAAAATTAAATAAAAAACTGGGTATATTATAAAAATGACTGGTGGGGATCAAATTGAATATTTTTAACTTCCCGTAGGGTAGTTATAGTGATGGGCCGAAAATCGAAAATGAAAATGTTTGCATTTCTCGACGTTTTCAAGGTTTCTGAACATTTTACTGGCATACCTAAGAAACCAAATGGATGTGCGTGTGTGTGTGTTGTGTATGTCCGCATTTTTTCGTCCACATTTTCGGGCGCACGGATTAACCGATTTGAATGGTTTAAAAAACATTCGATCCCTATTGATAGGGAGAAGTGCTGATTAGTTTTTGGCAAAGGCAGGTCCAGCCGTTACGGAGATAAAGAGCAAAGAGTGCAGAAAATACAAATCGTGTTTTTGAGAGAACGGAGGATCCGATTCGAATGATCTAAAAAGCATTCAATTTGTAATGATTGGTAGAAGAGGTGATTAGTTTTTGGCAAATGTAGGTCCAGCCATTTTGAAGATACAGAGCTAAATGTGCAAAAATGGCAGTTTTTGTGTGAACTAAGCGTCCGACTATACGGTAGCACTTTTTCAATTTGGTGTAAATTAGGCGACTATCTTTTTTTTAATTAAATTCGAAATGATATTTATTGACGATTGTTAATGTTCTAGAGATGAATTGATTTATGATTTACATTTGATTTGCTCACTCAGATATAACAAGATTGGAAAAATAATTAAAGTTACGGTATTTGTAATAATATATTTGAAAACGTTTAAAATTTCTCGAATATTTCATTACGGTACTGGAAGTTCTAGCAATTTGCCTTAAGGCACGATGCCATACACCACTAGTTTTCTTAATGGTGTAAAGTTTTTTTTAATTTAGATTCATGAAGAGTTTCAAAGGAGTACCAAGGGTCAGTATGGAATCTGCTGTGGAGCAGGCCTTAAGACAAGCCGTGGACGACGACACCTTCAGGAAAGTGAAAAGGGTCAGCTATTCGCCTTTGGCAGCAGAAGAGGTACTTATTGGTCTTACATCTAAATTATATATACCATCTATCTACAACTTACCACTTTCAGACAGCTACTCAATTGGGGTTGACATCACCAGACATCTCATCGGCTTCTGGAACAGGCCAAGGATCCGGCGGGGCCCTTGCAACACCTGGAGCCCTACGAAATTCCACTGTCAACGATTTGGCTGCTTTGGATAAATTGATAACCACACTGCTCCAGACGCAGCAGCAGAACAGGAGCACCCCTATGCTGAACAGGATCAGACCACAATCGAGGTAAAGGAAGTAATATATAATATATATATATATATATATATATATATATATATATATATATATATGTGTATATATACTAGCTGACCCGGCAAACGTTGTTTTGTTAAGTAAGGTTTATTCTAAGCAATTTCTAGAGAATCAGAAATATTAATACTTTTAGTGCATAAGGATGTATTGTTTGAATGCTATATACAATGAGGTATTATAAAAACAATAAACCCCATTAGTTTGTCTATATTTTGTCAATACAATCAAACTGGAAATTTCATACACTTTCCATAGAAAACATGATATAATCCAATCCAAGTCTTTTTTGGTATTTCGACTTATTGATTACGTTTCAAGTATTTCAGATTCTTTTTGGATTCTGGATTTTGTGTATAATTCTAAATAATACTACTGAGCTTAAACAACATTTTCAAATTTTTGCGAGGAGAGATAGAAAATGAATTAAGTATTTCTTCTTTGACCTGCTTTTTGAAAAGTTTCAAGTAACATTCAATGAATTAAAGTAAATTTAATAAAAAGTATATATGTAGAGCAGGGCGAGGCACAAAGGTCCAATTTGACTTTGAGCAAATATAAATTATATTGTGAAAACCAAACTAATTATATCACAACAAATAACACATTTCAAACGAACAATTATCTGACTACGTTCCGAAAAACTGCCAGCTACTTCATCATTGTAGAAATGTGCTTTCTTGATGTCTTTCAAAAAATTGTTATCTAGACCTTTTTACCCCATAGGCGGGGTAACTTGGAACGGCCGCGTGGCAAACAGGTTTAATGTCTTATTTTAATTTTAAAGGTATTTTACAAAATATTTACATTTTTAACTAATGCTAAAAAACTTCCAACGGATGAAAATACTTTTAATATGGGTTTTCAAAAATTACCGTTTATCTCCCGATAGCAAAGTCATGAGAATCAAGGTTATAGCTCGTTATACATCTTTTTCCCTCTACTTTCAAATATTGTTGTTAAACAATGCTCAAATTTGCTGGTTTTTGACACATCGGTGGTGAATCTTTTTAACCCCGGACCTTAATATATTACTATCTATTCTTCGATAAATTCTGGGAAATTATAACTGTGAAAATGTTATTCGACAAAATGTCCCTTTGATCGATACCAAATTTAGGTTCTGAATTTAAATAATATAAATAAAAAATAATATAATCTTGAAAATGTTTTATAAATACCTATGAGTATATAATTATACAAATGAGATCTTTCAGAGCACCGTGTTTAAGAAAAATATGCCAAAAAGTGCATTTTCATATTAACATTTCAAAAAAGTTGATATTTTGAGTTTATAGTAACACTTGAGGACCGTTTAATAACGTTTTTGCGTTTAAATAAAACTATAAACAAAACTACTTTCCACAATTTAATCAAAATTAAATAATTGAACATCACCTGTCAAAAACGTTTGACATTTGACGTATGATCCGTCCATTGTTTCATTCAAATTACGCTTCTACAAAAATATTCAAATTAAAAATGTAAAGTTTCTACGCGATTTTGAAATAATATCTCACCTTTCCGACAACCTACTGACTAGCACGAATTCTTCAAGACTAAGATTGGCTAAATCGGTTTAGCCGTTTTCGAGTTTTAGCGGATCATTTTATCGAGAGCTCCATTTTTATATATAAGAAGATAATAAATAATTATTATTTATTACCAGGTCTCTTCGTTCAAATTCGAGTACGACCAATAGTACCGGAAATTCGTCCGGGCAGCTTCCGACGATTCCCGAAAATTTGCGAAGACCCGGATCGTGGTCCGAGAGGGCTCTGAAAACGCTGGCAAACGCGCCCCACAGATTGAGCGCCTCTTTGAGAGGAGATTCGAATGCGAACGATGACGAGGGTGATAGACTTACAATGAATGCCTTATAGAAAACTTGGTAGAAGAGTTAGTTCATTAAGGGGCACAACTAGTGTAACCGCCGAAAAAAGGTGATTTTTGGGAATTTATATTGAAAAAACTACTTTATCAATCATTTCAAAATTTTAGAAATATATTTATACATGTTTTAAGAATACATAGTAAAATTTTTGAAGAAAAAAATTTAATTTTTTTTTAAGTTATTGTCGATATCCAACGGTGCGACAAAAAAGGCCCTTCACTGCTGCAATGATTCCGGCCTTCTATATGGATGAAGTTAAAAAAAAAAAACTCACATTAAACTAGATAATATTGTCTGTGAAATGAACTACGTTAAAGAAAAAAAATCAAAAATTGACAAAATGACGGCGTTTAAAAAAAAAGTCGAATTTTACCCAAAATTTTGGTCGTTTTGGACTGCCAAAATTCGATTTTTGGTCCGATCAAAAAATCGATAGTTCATTTTACGGAGAACTATATATAGAACATGTAAAAAAAATTTGATAGTGATCGGATCATTTGTTTTTGAGTAATCGCTGCAGCAAATTAGGAAAATGCTGTTTCGAGAAAAACGCGTTTGAAGATAAAATGATCGTTATACTATAATATATATATACGAGGTCTGTTCAAAAAGTACCCGGAATTTTCGTTTTTTCAAAAAAATATTTATTTATTCGTCTACATTAATGTGGTCCCCTTCAAAGTAGTCCCCCCCAGATATAATACACTTATGCCAGCGTTTTTTCCAATTTTCGAAGCACCCTTGATATTCACTTTTTGATATGTCCTTGAGCACTCTCAGCGATTCGGCCTTTATTTCTTCAATCGAGGAAACCGCCGTCCTTTCATGGGTCTCTTCAACTTTGGGAATAGGAAAAAGTCACACGGAGCCATATCTGGTGAATTTTTGCACTTTGCAACACTTTATTTCATTTTTTACGCAAAATTTAATACAAATTCTTTGACTTTTCAATTCTTCCATTGTAAAAATCGCCGAGCTCAGAAAAACACGTCGAACCTTAGCGACTACCACAGACAAAGTAAACAGTGAATATAGCTGAAAATTTCATCATACTTTAGGGGCATGTATACCAACACAATAAAAAAAAATTTTGACAATCAGACACTCCAGACCCGCGAAATTTAATTATTAGTAATTCCGGGTACTTTTTGAACAGACCATGTATATATGTTGAAAGTGTTTAAATTTGATTTTGAAATGTATGATTGATTTCTTGGAGGGCGAAACATCAAGTAAAAAATATAAATAAAGTAAAGATTTTTCAAAACATCTTTATTTCTCATACGTTTCGACGTAAAATTCTACGTCATCGTCAGTGGTTTTGAATTTCTTAGATTATCACTTACACATATTAATACAGCTTGTAAAAATTAATAATTGCAAACAAGCACCAAATGTCAGTAATTTCTTTTTTATAAAGAATAAAAAATAAAAAAATAATTAACAAATAGAATATTATACGTAAGCACTCATGTTCCGAGGCAAGCTAGACAAGAAATCATTTCTTAATATTAATTATTATATTAATTATCCAATTATTAATTTTTACAAGCTGTATTAATATGTGTAAGTGATAATCTAAGAAATTCAAAACCACTGACGATGACGTAGAATTTTACGTCGAAACGTATGAAAAATAAAGATGTTTTAAAAAATCTTTACTTTATTTATATTTTTTACTTGATGTTACGCCCTCCAAGAAATCAATCATATATATATATATATATATATATATATATATATATATATATATATATATATATATATATATATATATATATATATATATTGTAGAGTTTCGAATAAGAATCCAAAAATAATAATAAAAAAAAACAAGAAAAGTTTTTAATAAACAATTTCTTTATTTAATTATTTGTTTCCTGCCGACGTTTCGGAACTAGGTACGTTCCATCTTCAGGACATCTGTCAAGAAACATGATCTTGATGAGATTTGAGCAAACAATATGTTTAGGAAAAGAAAATAGATTTTTCTTAAATAATAAATTAATTGCAAAAAAAATATAATAATGTACAGAAATATGATAATATGATCAGAATAAAAATGATAAAAATAAATGAGTGGATTATCAGAACAGGATATTAAACATAATAGAAATTTTATCCAAATTAATATTAATCCAAAGATCTTATATTATGAAAGTTGCGTCTTTAGGAGATTATTCGCGGAGAGTTGTCTTATTCTTATGAATGTTTCTAACAGTGTCAACATTAGATCAGATCACAACCTATTACATGATTCATATTTAAATTTTTTACACTTTTTGACAAACAATTAATATCGACTTCCTTTTAAGTTCAATAATTTAAGTATTTACACCCTAACATTAAAAAAACACACACATACAATCTCACAGTTCTCGTTTCAAGTGTTTACACGTGTTACATATGAACCAACAAATACAATTAGTTCGCTTCCAAAAGCCAATAGCATAACATCGAGAAAACAATATTATTTGTGTTTTCAAATAATAATTTTAAAAAAGACAAATCTTCTAGTAATTTTGATTTACAAAATCTAATTATTCGGCGGAAAAATAACTCACAAATTCATTTTTTGTTAAAAATCTTGTTTAGTGAAAAAGTGCTAACATATATTCAAACATACAGGTAATTAATTCAATTTTGTCATTAACCTTTTCTTAAAAATTTTCCATAACTTTCAAAAAAAAAAAAAAATTCTATTATGTTTAATATCCTGTTCTGATAATCCACTCATTTATTTTTATCATTTTCATTTTGATCATATTATCATATTTTTGTACATTATTATATTTTTTTGCAATTAATTTATTATTTAAGAAAAATCTATTTTCTTTTCCTAAACATATTGTTTGCTCAAATCTCATCAAGATCATGTTTCTTGACAGATGTCCTGAAGATGGAACGTACCTAGTTCCGAAACGTTGACAGTAAACAAATAATTAAATAAAGAAATTGTTTATTAAAAACTTTTCTTGTTTTTTTTTATTATTATTTTTGGATTCTTGTTCGAAACTCTACAAAATATACACAAATCCAAGATTTTACCATTCAATATATATATATATATATATATATATATATATATATATATATATTAAATTTATTTATTATAATTTTGATGTTGAAATATGTGATATTCAGTTTTCAGGACAATACATCAATTAAAAAATTTGTATGACTTTAAAACATTTTTATTTTTTCCATACGTTTCGACACATTGTTTTGTGTCATCTTCAGTGGACTATGTAATTGAATTAATCCTAATTATTTCATATTATAAATGTTCACAATGCACTATCCTAATTATTTCATATTATAAATGTTCACAATGCAACAAAAAACCAATCTTTGTCATTTTAAATTGAACAAAATCATACAAATTTTTTAATTGATGTATTGCCCTGAAAACTGAATATCATATATACGAGGTGTGTTCAAAAAGTACCCGGAATTACTAATAATTAAATTTCGCGGGTCTGGAGTGTCTGATTGTCAAAATTTTTTTTTTATTGTGTTGGTATACATGCCCCTAAAGTATGATGAAATTTTCAGCTATATTCACTGTTTACTTTGTCTGTGGTAGTCGCTAAGGTTCGACGTGTTTTTCTGAGCTCGGCGATTTTTACAATGGAAGAATTGAAAAGTCAAAGAATTTGTATTAAATTTTGCGTAAAAAATGAAATAAAGTGTTGCAAAGTGCAAAAATTCACCAGATATGGCTCCGTGTGACTTTTTCCTATTCCCAAAGTTGAAGAGACCCATGAAAGGACGGCGGTTTCCTCGATTGAAGAAATAAAGGCCGAATCGCTGAGAGTGCTCAAGGACATATCAAAAAGTGAATATCAAGGGTGCTTCGAAAATTGGAAAAAACGCTGGCATAAGTGTATTATATCTGGGGGGGAACTACTTTGAAGGGGACCACATTAATGTAGACGAATAAATAAATATTTTTTTGAAAAAACGAAATTTACGAAAACTTTTTGAACAGACCTCGTATATATATATATATATATATATATATATATATATACTCTTTAAATGACTGTAACTCAAAAACTATTCAAGATATCGATTTAAAATTTTGGTATGTTATTTTTAAAGGTATAACCTATCGAAATGTGGAAAAATTGAAAATTCGATTTCTTGAAAATTTCACACTAGTTGTGCCCCTTAACTTAATAAAATTAAAATAAATAAAAACCACCACCATTTATTTATTATAATGAATTTTTATTATTTTTTTAAACTATTTTCTTTTGCATAGTTTTTTCACTTCAACATATACATGTACTTTTTTTTGAAAATTTTGCAATTGGTTGGGATCGTGTTAATAATGGTTTGAATCCAGAATAAGCAAATATCACAACCAGTTCCTTGGTTGAAATGAATCAATTAAAAATCAATCCCATTACGTATATTAGTTTATTTATATTTATAAATAGTTTATAGAATATTTATTTAGTAACATTCAAATGATTGTGTCGCAGCTTTTACAGAGAATTTATTGCAATATTATTATTATTATCATTATTAAAATAAATATAGTGTACGAGTAAATTAACAATAACAACAATAGTAATAATATTCAGACCGGCTGAATTAATATTTATAATAGTGCATTCGAAAAAATACGATAGTATAAAATCGGAATGAAGGCGTTTTTATATTCCTACTGCAGCAGAAAATAAATGAATTATAAAATATAAATTATATATATATATATGTAATATATATATATATATATATATATATATATATATATATATATATATATATATATATTAAATTAAATAGTAATGTTGATTTATTTGTTAAAAAGGATGAATAATTTTGTATTATTTTTCCCTGCTGCAGCAAGTATATAAAAAACAAAACTAAACTGCTCCCTTTGACATTAATCTAAAAATACAAATATCGTTTTAGAATATAGCGCAGTTTTAGAAAGTTTACATTAATATCATCATATTTTTAATATAGATAGTATTG